GTGCAATGCGACGTAGACAGCAGTGTTCGAACACCGATAATCTATTTTTCTCCTGTTGCCGTAGTCGCCAAGTCTCTGCACCGTAGAGCAGGACTGGCCAAACTGCTGCAGCATATACTCGACTCTTCACAGACAGCCGGATGTCGCGACGGCGTCACAAATGTTTCAAGTTGGCAAATGCCAACCGAGCGTTTTTATGCGCGTCGACACTTCATTTATGATGCATCCGACAGGTGAGATATAGCTGCTCAGATAGCAAAACTTGTCCACTTCCATAGGTAATGGCTGCACAAACTGAACTGAACGAAACCGGATGAACTGGGTTCCCTACTGCTTTACGAAGATGGGGGCAGAACTTCCTGCAAAAACCGCATGAGTCAGTTTCATTAACGTCACTTCAAAGCCCCATACTGGTGTCGTTATCAATGAGTTATCCGACTCACGTGAACAGCACATGCGTAAGCTTAAGACTAGCTTTGGACCCATTCAAGGTTGTATCGACCATACTTTTACCCCTCACCTAATTCGGAAGCATGATAGCCTTAATAATTTCTCTTTATCGGTCCTCAATATATTCGGTAAGTCGGTTTAAAGGTTTATGGGTTCCAGCCCAGGAGAAACACCTTTCTTATATTTATGAATAGTTCATCATACCTCGTCTTAAAATCCGCTATTGATTACCAAGTGGTTTCCTACTTTGTACGAACAACCGTAAACAACAAGCAGTGCGGTGGGTAAATGATAATGCAGCGCAACAGGCATCTCAACTGGTGATTTTGCGCAGAAACACTCGAAGGCAATAAGGGCTTCACTGGAGGTGTTATTCCGCTTGCTCAATCCAACGAATCAGAATCATCGTACAGATAAATACAGTGAGGCCCACTTCAATGATCGCTGCCAAATTCGCAATGAAGGCGAAGTTAGCGAGAACATGTAACATGGATGGGGATATAGTTCTATTACCAGGGGATGAGGAAAGAAAGTGAATCTCTATGGTCAACACACAAAGTACACAATCTAACTGCGCATGCACATCTTTCAAGCACTGACCTGATAAGAAGTGGCAAAAGAACATCACTACTGTCGGTTCGTTGCAACATTCTTCACTGCCTCCAACCAACCAGTTGCAGTCATTGGAAATCCAACCCGGAAGGCGGAGGACATCTACTCCACCTAATTGCTCTGTACATTTCTTAAAGCTTCGTCTCCACATCATCTGTTGACAGTGTGGTTTCCCCAGCCCGGGGTGGCTACAGCGAATAAAGCGGGGTGCATGTACAATACGTGTCCTAGCTAGTGAAGGATACTAATCTGGATTTGATAGGCTAGCAAGTTTATCCCCGATAAACTCCCGAACACATGATGGTTTATGTCTGGGTTACTAAATACTCACGCAAAAAACACTATTTCACATGTGCCAAACGATGTAAACACCGATAGTCAGAAGCTTCTAGTCGATAAATATTTAGCAAATTAAAGGTCTCAACCATAAAGCAGAACTGAACGAACGGTTGTGCGATAAGCACAACTTTTAACGTCAGTGAAACATCACGTCTATACCAAAGGTGCTACAGACCTACGTGCGCTGCTTAACCACCGGAAATGTGTGCGGTTATTCTCTTTGCTGCGCTACTGGGGGGTCACACAACTACTAAGTAGGAGAAACAATCCACTGTGACTGATTTCTGACCAGTCAATTCAAAAGCGGTACTATTCGGCACCTAGTCTTGCAGCATCACTTTGCACTTTGAAGGTATAAAGCGCATACCTAATGCAGTAACGTGTTAGTCTACAAAGTGTGTCTGGCACATCCTCCGCGCATTAGAACAGACAGGTGACGTCATCAGCGTACGCCAAGTCGCAAAGCTTTTCTCCAGCTAAGTAAAGCAAGCGATGAGAAACAAATTTCAGATAGTTATTGAATTTTCACTGAGTTGTGTGTAGGGCACTGCAGGGGCGGCCCAGTTGTGAAACAACAAGATCGATCACTATAAGTAATTCTGTGTTCGTACATGATCCCAGTTGTTCGTTTTAACTTTTGTTTCTGTTTTACAGCCTATCAAAGGACATACACCAAAAGAATCGCTAAGATAACACATTATCTATGAATTGAAAACTAAGTAACCCTAATGGGAATTACACTTATTCGAGAGAATTAGTCACAATGTGCGATATATACGAATGACAAAGAAGGAGCCCACCAGATCAAAATCTGAGTAGCAAAATAAATATATAGAGAAGTTTGTAAAGCACTTTAACATACGCTCGGATTAGAAAACTTCCAATATTTTATAAATAATCAAACTCAACCTCACCCGTCAAATCCGTATGATATTCCCCGAAAAAACCAACTCCAACTGAGTCCTAATGAAAAAAGAGATCAACAAAACTACTATATTGCATTTATATTTGTACAGCAAATGTCTCTTCTGAAGTAATGCACTTGAGAACCAAATAAAACCAGTAATACACGGGATGGGATATAGAACAAGTTTATCGATGATCAAAACGGACAGAGCGGTCCAGACAATGCATTGCCTTCCTTCGTATTTCTTCATGTGACTGAAAAAGTGATCCACATCTGTCGAGAACTTGACCTCGGTCAGAAAACAAAATCCGACACAAAACGCTCTTTCTTTACTTGGTCCGTTTCATCTACATATACACTCACAACTGAAATAGTTTGGCCAATTGTTCCAGAAGCACCGCAAAGTTCAGCGACACTGCGCATGCCTCCTTTAACTTGCTCGACTCCATGGGAAAATCCGGCACGCATTTTCTGTGCAGCCGCAGAACTCTGTGTTCGTAAGTTGGCCACTCCTCTCGCAGAACGAGCTCGAAGTCCCTGGAACTCGCCCCGTAAAACTTTTACTCCGTGACCAACGTCGCGACGAAGGCGGCTTCTAAACTCTTCTAGGTGTTCCCGGAAGTGATTTGGATCTGGGCTTTCAACGGCACGAGCCAAATCAGCAAGCGCTTCGCGATATTCCTCAGCTAACTTATCGTTCGACACCACAAGTTTTACGTCGGCACTTTTAGGACGATGAATGGAGTGACAACAAATGGATTCTTTCAAAGACTGTAAGTCCTCAAAAGGTCGGCATGTTTCAGGAGAATCCCCAAGTCTTTCTCCGCGAACCCGAACAACACAATTTCCAGACCGCACATACAAACAAGGAGATGTCATGGTAACAGGAGAGACTGAGATACGCACTCCATCGCGAGGCGAGTCTGGTAGTTTTCCTGATTGATTGACACATTCTGAACCCATCAACAGCCGATGAGCCTCCAAGGAGTCAGCAGACACATCGGTTGAAGCGGTTTGTGGCGGTGACACGGGTTTCTGTGGTGGATCAATTATTTGAATTTCTCCTTCTTGAAGTAAATCACCTTCAGGGGGGTTATTTGCTGAATTAAGCACATCAACAACCTTCAACTCATGAACAGATTCTACGAAGTGAGCTGCCTTACACTGATTGCAAAACCAATATGTTGGCGGCCTCAGGCAAATATTGCAAATGCGACAAGCAGAAACATATTGCATCGAACCCTGATTAATATCATAGGTTCGATTGGTCTCACATTTTTCATCGCCGCTTTCTTCATCCACCTCAGGCACAGGGATAACTCCAATGAACGTTTTACCACCGTACGCAAATGGTGGTTGTGGACGTCTTAAGCAGCGTGTTTCACTGCAATACCGAATGGTACCACCAAGGATACCAACCAGAAGCAAAACGGCCATCGCCCCATAGCCGTAGCACAAAGAGAGAACGTAAACATGTGCACGGTAAATACTCGAAACAACATCCACCTTTACTGGAGAAGATACGGCTATCCCGACAGGGAAGCGACCAACACAGTACCACAAACCGGATAGGTGGCCCCTGGTGTTCTCCACACTCAGTTCACTGAAAGATACATTATGACTCACACGAATCAAAGTGGGCGACAGTATCGGTTGAACGTTATACGAATAACTGGTGTATTTGGCACCATCGATGGTAGGTGTGGGTAGGATCACACCTATAGGAGTAACCCAATAAACTCCACCCGGGACTGTTGAGTTCAAAGAACAAGTCAGTTTAAAAGAAAGACTGGTGTAAACCGGGAGATATGTTGAATCATTTAGAACCTGCACTTCGGGGCTTGTTGACTGCAACTGAACTTCGAAGAAAGGCTCACAGGCTTTAATCTCGGTAAAACATGCAGGAGCACCGACAAACCTTCCCTGAGAATAAATCCAGCTGTTTGTGCAGGTACAGTCAACTGGGTTTTTGAATACTTTAATCAATGGTGCCGTGACAATATTCTTAGACCGCAAAAATGAAGGAAGAAACCTGAAGTGATTATCGGAAACATCGATGAGCTCTAGAGATGGGCTATGTACAAGGAGATCAACTGGGAGCTCATTTAGCGAGCAATTACGGAATACTATAGAATTCAGTTCGGACAAACCACAAAATGCACCCAATAAAGGAAGTATTAAATTACAATCTACGATGGAAAGAGAACGCAATACTGACTTCTGATTAGAATGATTGAAATTGAGATCACAACTATGGATCACCAGCTTAGGTAAACGTATGTGCAACTCTTCAAGTTGAGCCATCTTGTCGCTGAAGAAGAAGTCACTAAACAGCACTCTGGTGGAGTTTCGGAGTCCATCTCTGATGAGTAAACTGGTGATATTGGGAGGGCATAGTTCAACAACATAGCTTCCTATAAGGGGATCCTCGTCGTTCAGGATTAGCTCGGCTCCGCTCGTGGACTTTTGTATGCAGACTGACAGTGATCTCCGCAAACTTTCGTCATTACCATAAATTCCAATCAATGAAAGCGATAAAATTACAGAAGTCGCAAAAAACCCATAACACATGACCTTGGGTATTTGAG